ACACATACACACACACAAAAACACCCGTGCAACAGCGTGACAAGATCACCATTTCATTAAATGGCTGCCAGCACACTTGAGCAGGGGAGTGAGACAGTCCAGAGTATCCAGAGACAGACAGAGCATAACCTGTGTTTCTGTGTGACAGTTTCTGCTGACAGTGCAGAAAGAGGTAGAATCAGACCTGTGTGCCACAGGTCACATTTCTGATAACATACTGAAAGTTGAAAGTAAAACAAAACACTCGATGTGTCCCAAATCCAATAATTACTATGTACTAATTTGAACCAGGTTCTGAGTATGTTGTGTGTACACACTGGAAAAGTGACAAAATAAAGTATACTCACAACAATATGCAAACTGAAAACCCCTTGAAATGAAATGGAAGGGCTGCTCATGGCTGGGGAAAGAAATAAAACTAAACTGTGAATAGTGATGAAACAGATCAAGAAAAACCCAGAAAACCAAAAATAACCACTACATTTTTGAAAAAAACATTGGCAATGGTATTCTTAAAGGAACAGTTCAACATTTTGGTAAATATGCTTATTCGCTTTCTTGCCAGAAGTTAGATGAGAATATCAGTGCCTCTCATGCCTGTCTGTTTAATATGTAGCTGGAGCCAGCAGTTGGTTAGCTTAGCTTAGCATAAAGACTGAAAATGGGCAAACAACTAGCCTGCTTCTGTCCGAAGGTAACGAAATCTACTTATCAGCATCTGTAAAGCTCATTAAGTAACCTTGTTAAACCTTGTTCTTTAATCCATACCTTGTAGTTAATGGCACTATTTTTGTGAAGTCTGTAATCACCGTTGGGTTGCTAGGCAACCAGCTGAGACTTTGCCAGTCACTACTCCTGGCAAAGAAATAGTCATGCACATCACCCACATATTCTGTGTTTTTGCACTTTAGTTATATATACAGATTACACACACAAGATACAACACCCTAGGAGCTTTATATGCACTGACAGGCTAGTGATCTCCTTTTGTTTCCAGTGTTTCTGCTATGCTAAGCTAACCGACTGCTGGCTGTAGGTTGATATTAACCATACAGACAGAGAGTGGTATCAGTCTTTCCATCTAATTATCCGAAAGAAATAAAATAATAAAATAATTATGAACTAGTCCTTCAAGTTGCAGTTTGATTGACGTCTAAGAGCGCAGCTATTCATTTCCTGTTACTATAAAATGTATGTACATATCTTGTACACTAACTGCAAAACACAATATAAAGTTTAGTATGTAGTTTATACTGTAAAGAGTCACTATGTACTGTAGCATGGAATTACAATATGAAAATGTATACACTTTTTCTGTATGGTTGTCTTATAGCTACCTAAAGATAATTTTAAAACTTCAGACGTCACTCATCCCAATAAATATGTTGGGTAAAATGATAAATGTTATATAAAAATGTTTCCCCCATTTGTAAAGCACTGAATGAAACTACTCTGTGTTATAGCAACCTAAGGGTTAGTAAGTGTTTTAATACTCTGTCCACCCCATTTAGACTGCTGTAAATAGCAGAAAACCCTTTAGTTGAACACAATACAGTTAGTTCAACAGCAGCACAAACTGCAGCCTCCAAAATGGCCATAAAGTTGAATGAACACCTATTTCAAAGAAAGTGAACATTATAACCCTCGCATCAGCAGAATTTATTGCACGGCTGTTGTATCAGGCTGCATTGGTTGTAGCTAGGTGTGCCTAAGAAACTGGCAACTGAGTGTGTGAGTGAATAAATATATATGAAGCAGTGTGTGGGTTTTTGCTTTTTCATGATTTCTTGGAAGCTTATACCACCCTCAATCAGTAATGCCTGAGTAAATAAAATATTCAGTGGGGCACTAGGCTGCTTTTCCAATGTGGGCCTGTCGCTCTCCATGGTGCTGAAAAATACAGTCTGAGAAGCAGGCTGCTGGTGGTGATATTCCCTTCAAAATAAAACCCATTGGCAGTTTTTATCTGAAATCAGTGCATTATATGGTGAGTGTCTGTCAGAGTGAGGTACACACTTTACTCAGAGAAAAACACAACATTTTTGTCAGATATGCAGAGGTTATCCTCCAATCATTTTTAATATGAACCTGTCACACTTGAAAAAAAAAAAAAGACTTCTAGATCAAGTGTGTAAAGGCCTCAACCCCAGGCTTACAGTTGTGAGGAGAATCCGCTTCACAACTCACATGCCAAAACGATTTCACTGATTCTGCCTGGAGGCCAACAGGAAGCACTCTCAAATCATATGGGCCTGTAACCCAGGCCAGCCACGAGGCAGCCGCACGGGAAGGGTTAACGCGGAGAGATCAAAGCTGCGGAAACATCACAGAGGCACAGCGATTTGATCACGCGCCAACCCCCAGGCTGAATTCATAATTGTCTCTTTAACAAATGCGCGCGTCTGTTCTCTATTTCTAGGTTAAAAACCATCTGTCTCTTAGGGTCTGTGTTTCATTCTAAGGATACGGCAGCAGGAGACACTTCAAAATCTGCAAATTCTGCTTGTTTGTTTGAAATCTCTTTTTTATGTCTTTCAAAAAATTAGATCACTATTTGTACCTAACTTCACTAGTTCCAGAGAAGTCAAAGTCTTTAGATTACCTAAGGCTACTATGGCTACTATGCAGTAATATAGATTGTTTCATGTGCACCTATATTATTGCGTAGCAGCCTTGTTTACTACTTAACACCTCAAACTATTGATTTGTGAAGCACAGCAGTAAGTAAGAGAAAGCATGGAGCAAGAGGGCTGGTGAAGGAGTTGAAATTGGTTATTTTATGAATTATTAATTTGTTGTTTCACCATGTCAGCACTTGCATGTCGGAGGAGTGTCTGTGTTTGTGTATGTGGGAGAAATGGGGAGGGAGAGTGAGATTAGACAACACAGGGTCAAGTTTCACACAGTTTTGTCAGGTCATTTGTGCCAGTAGAGGTTTCAGTTGTGGCGATTTTACTTCTTCATTTCTTATCCATCCATCTCGCTTCATTACTACAGCTAAGAAATGTGTAATTACAACAACAATGAACAGATTATGAATAATATTAAGAAGTTGTAGGACAATTAGCAGTGTGGGAAGGGGAGGCTGAACGTTATGTTAAGTTTATTTAGTTTACACCCTCCCCTTGACTTATACTGCCATTCCCCCAGTATCTGAAAACAATTTAATAGTACTGTTCAAGGTTATTATAGTAAACTAAAACTAGGTGTGAAAAATAATTTTATTTAACTGAAATAAAAATAAAAACTAGAACTGGGAAAAAACGAAAACAAACTGAAACAATCACCTTTTTTTTCTCCAAATTTACAGGAAATGTGTTCAGTTTGCTCATATTATAATTACAAAAAAAAACTAAAACTAACAATGAAATGAATACAAACTAAACCAAAATCAAACATTTTTAAACAAGTACAACTAAACTGAAAAGAGCAAACCCACTCTGGAAACTGACTG